AGATAATGAGAAGAGTATTTAAAAATTAGATATAGAAGTAAATATAAGAAATAACAAATAACAGCTAAACCAGCCTATCTTTGCTTTTATTTGATAAGAATAGTCCTGCTTTATAAAGAGGAATATATCTGTTTGAAGACTTAATTTCCTACTATTATAGTATGTCCATAAGTTTATTATAAAATATAAATAAATATATTTTTATTTAAATTCTTAAAAGTGAAGTTAAATATATATGTTTATTAATGAAATAAAATATTTATTAAAACGATATTAAATATTACAACATTTTAGAATACAATATTAAATTAATACAATATATATTAATACATTTATGTACCATATTCAAGAAATAAATTAAAAAAATTATTTTATTTGTAAACAAAATAAAATATTTAAAAATAATATAATTAAATACATTATATTATATTTTTTAAATACGTTAAAATACTTTTCAACTCAATTATAAGCTCGCAGTTTTAGCCACAAGAATAAAAGATAGTCAAACTTTTCTGTGTCAAGCCATCAAATTTGCAGTTCCATACAATCCACTTAATTTCTATGCCCCAACCAAAAGCTGATTACCTTAACCGTTAACCCCCATTGTGTCTAGTCAACTGCTAACTTTTGCCATAATCATATTGTTAGGGTATCCATATAGACATTTGAAGAGCGTTTTTTGAGAATAAACTGAGGATATAAAAAATAAAAGAAATAAAAAAAACAAAACAAATATAGACACACACACACACACACACACACATACGCACAATTGAAAGGAACACAAATTGTAGTCAATGACGGTAACAACTTTATAACTGGATCTGGATGGCAGGTCCTTAGCCCATAACCAACTGCTTTGTTATGTTTGTTGCCCATCCCGAAGCTCATTATGTTAATCTGTATTGAGTGCGCTCCAGTTCTAAGCGCTCAGCTCGCAGTTCTCAGTGCCCAATGCTCAGTGCTCAGCCGTGGGTTTTCGGTTCGACAATCGCCGCACGCTGATCAAATTAAGCGCATTTTAAAGTGACTTGTATATGGGCAAAAGTTTTTCGATTAGAGTTTAAGTGTCCATTTCGTTCACGAGGTGCCGACGAGTTTGCCATTTGCCCGCTGCCCGCTGCCCGCGTCAGTTGGCCGTTTGCGAGGCTGAGGCGACAGCCAAAAGAACTTGTAAAAAAGTTGATTTTTGCATTTGGCCGCACAATTAACTTGAACGACGGACGGTAACCAGTCAAAAAAAAAAAAAGAAAAAAGAAAAAAAAAATTGAGAACCAAAACTCAAACCAAACCCTAACCGAACCAAACAGCTGTTCGTTTTCCTCTCAAAAATATACTTAAAAACAAATAGAGAGAGAAAAAAGGAGCTGAACAGAACAGTTGGCAACTGCTAACTGCGAACAGCAGTTGGTAACCCAACGAGGTCCTACTCCATCATCGCTTGTCTTTTTGGCAATGATGTGAAATGCTTTATGCGCAGCCAGGATATCGGACCGGGTTCCATACTAGTATTTTCGGTGGCAAGCTGCTGTCGCTGCTCATAGTTTTGCTTATCTTTGCATAACTTTTGCATAATAAACCAGCCAGGAACGGAGCACCATTGGCGAACCTCGAAGGGCACCAAAATGCCAAATGGGAAATGCTTGTCAAGGTGGAGGTGGAGTCCGGGGGGCCGAGCCGGTTGTGGGACGAGGTCTCCTCCGAAATGCGTTCTTTGTCATTGTTATGTGTGCGTTTTGTGGGTTGGGCTGCTTCGGCGACTTGCTTTTGTTGTTGTTACTGGCATTGTTTATGTATGCGCCAACACATATGCGAGCTCATTCCAGACCAAGACCCAGTACCTGCACCGGAAGCTGGAGCTGGCATCGGAGCTCCTCATGTGCGACCAGGATACATTCATATGCGTCGTCGAGTCAACAACACAAAAATTCCGCAAGTGAATGCACGAAAATCCAAACAAAACAAGCCAAACCACAACAACAACAAAATATAAAAAAAAAAGACGAAAACGAACTTGAAAGAACCTTAGAGTCGCACAAGAATATACTTATAGATATTGAATACCCTAGATATATGAAATTGTCAAGGAATTTGTCAACTCCAAGTAGAATAGGAAGATTTTATAGGGAGAGCCTAAAAATGAATACAGATTCCACATATTAGTAAAAATTAAGAAAACTTAGTTTCCAATTACGATAATATGAAAAGTCATAATAATGGGGTTGAGCATAAACTTAATCATAGAAGCATAATTAATTTTAGAGCTTAAAAGAACCCACATTGCTTCATCGCGATGCCTTCATCATTCCATTGAATTTAAGATATATTAAAAATGTAAAGAAAATCAAAATCTTGCACATTCAGAAATTTTGAAAACATACCCATTGAGTTACAGCTACAGGGTATATACAATTCGAAAGGTTTTTAGTTGCATTCTCACATGTTTTTGGGTTTTTGCTTAGCTGCAATGTTTTGTTTTTTTGTTTTTCATTTTATTTATTTTTTTTTTTGCCTGGTCGAGGGATTTGCCTGCATGGGTTTTTCGGGTTTGAGGCTTGGCTTTAATTTGGCATCCCCCGACGCCTTTGTACCCGCTGCACGCCCCGCCAGCTCCTGCTGCATCTATCTGCTGCAGTTTGCGGTTGCTGCTTATGTAAATTATTTTGCATGTCGCTGATGGAGCACTGCAGCCATGAGAGAGCCGCGCTTGACACCATGCCCCACCACACTGTACCACCCCACACCACACCGCAGCGCAGAGCTTCGAGCTGAGCAGCAAATGGCTGTGTAGTCAACAGCAGACTGATGATTTAATGCGAACCGCAGACTTTTGTCGAGCTAAGCATTTAATTGTTTCGAAGCGCACAATTAGAATGCCGTCTGAATGGCAGACAAAAAGGCTCGAGTTACGGCAAAGGTTCGTTGAACAGAACTTGACATAGTTTATTAAACGATTTGGCATATTCAATAAGGTGTATAGTTTTTCATATAGTATAAGAAATGTGCAGAGAATCGATGTTATAGACAGCAGCTGTCTAGTGTTGCATAACATATATGCACATACATATATGTATATATGTATATATAATTTGACTGAAATATGAGCGTCGAATACGCATAATCACAAATGTTGTTAAGATGGAATAAAACATTTTATTATATGTGAATATTTTTCGTTTGTTTATTGTATAGAATAATATGTCTAATTTACTTTTACTTGTTATTGGCTTTGTGTTCTGTACTTCAATATATGATGAAAATATAGTCAAGCTACTATAATGAAAATGGCTTTATTAGGTTTCATAACATGTTGCTTGGCCTTCCATATATTTTTGCATTAGCTTAAAACCATTTTGAAAATAATTCTGCAACTCAGTAAAGGATACCACCAAATGAGACTTATGTATATTAAAAGAAAAAATTTATTAATAAAAATATAATTTATGAAAATAAAAAAAATAATTATAATATTAATAATAACGAAAAAATAGTGAAAATTAAACTATTAAAAATTTTAAATAAGAATAATAATAATAATAATATTTATTATAAATTATAAATTTAATAATTGTCTATAAATAAAAATATTTAAAAATGGCTAAAAACAAAAAAAAATAATAATAATAAAATAATAATAATAATAATAATAATAATAATAATAATAATAATAATAATAATAATAATAATAATAATAATAATAATAATAATAATAATAATAGTAATAATAATAATAATAGTAATAATAATAATAATAAAAAATAAAACTTGCGATATTTAAATCAATAATAATAAGGGCCATCAATTTGGCTGCTTCAACAACTTCCTCAGCCATTTCTAAGGCAATCATATCGTAGCCAATAAGCTCACTATGCAAAGTTGATCTTACTCTGATGCTGTGATTCGCTGTAATGTCAGTCACTAAGCTCTAATCGCATCACTCAGGTTACACACACACACACACATAAACACACACAGACACTCACATTGGCACACAGACACCCGTTCGCTGAGAGTTATTTTTGCTGATCGTAAGGACGGTCAAAGTAACATCAAACAAACTATTCATCATCGCTCTTGACGCGAGAAGCTTACAGCAAACATCACACACAGAAATGCTGATGAGTATGTGTGTGTGTGTGTGTGAGTGTGAGCTTTAGTTTATGTGCTTTTAAGTGGGTGTGAGTTTTTGGGCGTGCATCCCGGCGAGGGCAAAGCGAACAGGAGCTGCCTGAGCAGAGGCAAACACTAATGGAAAATTGGCATGAAAGACGAGCTGCTATGGAAATTTAATCACATTCACATCTCACACAATACATCATCATCATTGTGTCTATGTGTGAGTGGGAAAGAGAGTGAACAGCACTTAAGACTCCTTCACGCATATTTCAATATATATATATAAGTATGTGTGTGCGTGTGTTAGGGTGAATGTGCGTATGTGTGTGTGTGCGTTGTATTTCCGCAAGTTTGTTAACTGCATTAGTGTGCGCTTCTGTGTTTGATTATGCCTTCAGGGTACACCCACACACACACATGAGCACACTATTGCCCACATATGTGCGTGTGTGTGCGTATATGAAACTATATATTGTAGTTATACATGTGCTGCATATGTCTGGGATTCTATGACGTTTACTGTTTGGTCTCACACGTAAATAAATGGGGATAAAGTTTTTAGATTTTGATTGCTTGATTGTGTGTGTCAACATACACACACACACTAACACAGACACGCATGAACAGCCCCTTCTCTACATATATATGTATATTTGCTTGTGTGTAGCACAGAGATTTATGTATAAAGATTTTGGGTTATATAAGCATAGATTTTAAAATTTGCTCCGTCATTGTCGACAATTTGAGTGACTTTTTGGGGTCCAGATTGTGATGCCCAATTGGCAGACCCTTTCGCCCCGTTGCCAAAGACGTAACTTTATTTGTTTGCTTTGACATAAATTAAAGCCTTTGTTTCGCTCATAATTATGTTGTATCACTTACAGCAATCAGAGACAGCGGAGAGGGATAGAGAGATGGACTTTCATATAACTGAAAGGTCGACCAAGCGAAACAGAGCGAATAGTTGACAGTGGAAGGGGCAAAAGCAGTGGAGATGAAGAAAGAAAGCATCGACTTGGGTCTGGTCATATTGAAACAGGCAAGGAACTTTGTGTTCAGCTACAACAGCCAGGTGTAATCACAGTCATTGACGGCCTCCGTGCCGCTTCCATGCGCTGTGACAAAAATTTTACGCTAAATTTGCCATGCATTGCGAGACAGTCGAGAGTCGAGAGTCGAGCTGAGGCGCCTATCTAGTTGGTAGCAGGAGCATGACAATTTATCAACGGTACGAGTGGCTCGTTATGGTTGACCTGTGGACTCTTTAATTCCACCAGACGCGCCTTGAATTAAACATGTTAGATAACAACGGAAAACTCGAACAAAACGAAAAACTGAAAAATATAAAAACAAAATAGCAGCCAGCAGCGAAAGAGGAAAATGAAAATGCAGCGCCAACGAAGCTAGATCCAAAGCTGAATTAAAAACGCCGTTGGCCTTCAAAAAAGTACGGCCACAAGAGCTGCGGCTAGAGTGTCTGCAACTTTTGTCCGGCCCAAACGACTATGTAAAGCGCCAACAACAACAACAACAGCAACAACAGCAACTTGAAGCTGCCACAAGAGCAATCACAAGAACAACAAGCAGAAGCGTAAAAACGTCGCCTTTATTCTAATGCCAGCTCATGCTCTGACTCAGCCAGAACAAAAAGCAACAAAAAACATGAGTGATCCAGTTGGGAGTGCTCGACTAGCTGATACCCTGCTGCGTGAGCAGCTCATATATAGCAAAGCAGAGATGCGCAGACACACAGCTACAAAAACTCACATGAGTTAGTTCAGGATACATTGAAAATTAATAAATTATAAATAAGCACTTTCCTAATTCCAGTGATTCCTCCAATATACGTAAAGCCTATTATAGCTAACAAAACTTCTAGTTTCTTTCTGCAGAAAATCAATTCAGAATAACAGCAAAAAGATTCACTAGGTTCACAGTGTGCCTAAATATGGATAAGCCTCAAATGATTCATGTCGTTTAGCAGCAGTCTACTCGGAGATCCCCAGTTCAGGGATTCTCTAGCTCTTATGGGGTCTGTCGTGCCTCCTACCTACTTCGGCCTATTATACTCTGATTTCCCTATTTTCAATCAAATCTAGCATTTTCTCAAAGAACCTTCGATCTTCGTATAGACGAACTCATTTAAACATGGCTCAAAAACTAAACTCGATTTTTTTGTAACTACCCAATTATCTAAATTAGCTTTTGCTTGGCGTTGCCAAGCTAATGAACTAGCTAATAGACTCGATCGCTGAACAATAAACATGTTTGGCAAAACCGCTAAAAACATTCAGCCAGTGTCCCATGTTGGCTACCAGCGCCTGCATCCTGCCAGCTACCGCCCGTGGTGCCGCAGCACGCAGAGACAACAGCAGCAGCAACAGCAACAAGAGTGCAGAGCAGTGAAAGTCTAGCCTGGTCTGTTGCTGTTGTTGTTGTTGTTGTTGTTGCTGTTGTTGGTAGTCCTTGGCGACAAGCCGAAGCGAAGCGAAACGGGTCCAGTGCGACTTTAGCAATTTTTAGTGCAACTAATTCTTTCTGAAGTATCTCATTGTTGCACTGCAAAGCCGCAATTTCGTGTGGCATGCACCCAGCCAGCTCCCACTTGGAGCCTATGTCCACTCTCTATCCCTCTCTCTTACTATCTCTGCGTGTGCCGGTGTGTGTGTGTGTGTGTTTGAGAGGAAGTCAAAAGTATCGCGGCAGCTTAAGCGCAGTGCTTCGTGTGGGTGTGTGACAATGGCTGGATTACTCTGTGTGTGTGTGTGCGTGGTCTGATGTTGGCTGCCCAGCGGAGTTTATTTCCCAGTTGATTGTCACAGTTGCCGGTCAGAAGTTGTTGTTGTTCTTGCTGTTGCAGCTGTTGCAACTGCCTAACAAATGGGCATAATATGTTTGTTATGTTGCCCGAGAAGCGGCACTACTTGTGGCTTCTAATGCATATGGAACAACAGCTCAGGTAACTTGGACTTTATCATTGTTGAGTTGAGTGGGGCTTGGAGCTAAGATAGCGTTGATGCCGAATTGAAGTGACTTGAGTGGTCTGATTAGCAGTTTGGTGTAGAGTTAGAAAGCGCTGAAGCGTTGAGTTGGGCAGTTGCGAATAGCTTTAGATTATTATTGAATTTATTGACGTAGGTGAAATTATGAGGAAAGAAAACTTGTTGCTATTTACAGGATAAATATAAATATAATTTCTGTATAGAGCAAACGCTTCCTCTGAAAATTTACTCGAATATAAGTTTGAGCTCAACAATATTAAAAAAAAAAAAAAAAAAAAAAAAAAAAAAACTATTCAACTCTACTAACACTACTACTTGAATAAGACCTCTTCTAAGGCTGGCCTTTGTGTTAAGTACAAAACTAACAGATATGACAGTAAGAGGCCCGTAACCTGGCTGCCAGTCGAGGCCCACATCTAGCCGAGACTTTCACATAAATTGCGTTGGAATGAAAAACTTTTAGCGCTGTGGGTTGTTTGCCTCGCCTTCTTCTTCTTTTTCTTCTTCTCGTTTTTGTTGTTTCGTACTACATAGAACATGAGATGTCATGCCATCTGCTAAACTGGTTATAAATAACCAAAGCATTCACATTCACATTCACACATTGTTCCCTGCGGCCCCTTTTCGGCTATTACCTAACTGAATTATATCTTCAAGCTTTCTGTATAAATTCGTACTAACAAGACCAACCCAAACCAAAGAACTGTGAGACTCATAAATCTTACATCAATTGAATTGTGGCCTTTCACCATTTGGTCTTCCGATATTGTTTAAAGTCGGCGTTCTGCTCGAGTGGCATTTGGAATTTGGATTTGGAGTTGATTCGCCCGGCCTAGCCCAAAGCGGAAATGGCCAATTGGAGCGTAAAAGAAAATAGAAAAAAAAAAAAACAACTAAAATAATAATAATATCATACATAATTACTTTACATTTGAAAGACAGACGTCGCGACAACTGGGTTTGCTTTTCTGAAAGGCTTTGGTTGCCAACAGCAGCGACAACAACTAAAGCAACAAGCGAGCAGGAGACGAGCAGAGGGAGAGAGAGGTAGAACCACGCATCTAATGAGTGGCGCAGTTTAATTAAAAGTTCCCGCAATTGTTTCTAATGTGAGTCGTTAAAGCGTTAAACTGCGGCGTGTAAATCACAGAAGCGGGCACCGCCTCATAGGTGAGTCTTGGATACATAAACAGCCATAAGATAGATACTTAGATACTTAACTATATATGTATCTATAGCTGTAGCTGTAGCTGTAGCTGTAGCTGTATCTGTGGCTATGTGGCCACTTCCGTTTGCTAAACACGTAGCCATAAAGGCCACCACACACACGCACACACATTCAGCTACACGTGGTGAACTTATGTGTTCAGCAGTTAGAGCAGATTGAAGCTGAAGTCAAGGCTGGCAGTGGGTTGGCTTGGGCTGGGCTGTGATGGGGTGGGATGGGGTGGAGTGGCCTGAGAACGTTATCGGGCAAAGATTTAGCAGTCCGACACGTGAAAACGTGGCAAGCTTATGGCCAAGTTTTGTGCTCTGGGGTTAGGGTTTTTTTTTTTTTTTTTTTTTTTTGTTGCAGCTACTTTGCCAGCCTATTGCCTCTTAATGCTAATGAAAAATATTTCCAACTGTGCGCGGATTAGGCGGCAGCTGCGTTTATTACCAGACAAGTGTTGAAGTCAAAGCCCAAAAAAAACACAAAATGGGAGAAGCTGGCATAAAACTGAAGCGCCGGCCCCTTTTACGAGGGCGAGAGGCGACGTTTAATATTTAGTTGAAGATTTAACGCCCCGGCGCAGCAACTATGATAAGCCTCATCGCTGCCTGAATTACATAATGAGTTGCCAGCCAGCCATCGAGCCGAGGGAGTCCTCCAGAAATTATGGCCAGCGACGTGGGTCCTCGACTGCTGCTGTACATTTTAATTAACAGGAAGAGGAAGAGCAGAGAGCGAAATGGAGAGTGAAGAGTGGCGAGCAGCAGCGGCGATTCCCAAGTCCTAAGGCACACACATGCACATATTTCAATAAATTCTATAAATAACAAGAAGAAGAAAAAGAGAAAAAGAAATTATGTTTGAATGCGTTGCAAATTAAATTCTTATGCATTGCGCGGGGCAACGCCCCAGGGGCACTTGTTCCGACCCAAAAAAGTTAGAGATAGACAGAGAGAGAGAGAGAGAGAGAGATTTATTTTTGGCAATTGAAATTTAAATGAAACTACGTGCGCCCGTAAACATCAAATGTTCAAATGGGCAAAAGGTAAAAACCAGAGAGCTGAACACGAAATCGCCAGCAAGACGGACGCTCTGGGGCGATGGGCAAGCGGGGCGAGCGGGGCGCATGCCCTGAGGAGCAGCACAACTCATTCATGCAGAAATCCATTGACATTTAATAGCCCCGGCACAGAGAGACCTCTAAATACTTTTGGCATGGCCAGAGGCAAATGCAGGGCTGGTCGGGGCAGGTTTCAGCTGTTTCCCCTGCGACAAGACCCTATTCCCAGTGCCTGCCCTGATTCCCCCGCTCCCCGGGCCCTACTTGGCTCTGTGGCCAGCCAAAGTCTAGTTAAACCTGAATTTTGGTATCTGTATCTTTTGGTCGAGTGTGAGTCTCGTTTGGTGTTGTTCGTGTTGTTGCTATAAGTATTCGCTCTCAGCTGCATTTCGGACAGGATGTGCCCGACACAGGTGTACATGTCCATGTCGCCATCGTCGTTGCCATTGCCGCCGTCGCCGCCGCCGCCGACGTCGCCGTTGCCATCGTTGTCTCTCCGCTGTCGGACAGGCTACATTGGAAGTTACTTAAACGAAACGAAACGAAGTCCGAAAGCAAGTTACGCATAAATCATAGGAAATTAAACGCCCGACTGGGCACCTGCTCTGGGGATCTGCGACTTCCGCTTGAAATGGAATCAATTAAAAACCAGCAAATCGCATGTTACATTTCCACTATGCAGTCGCATAGACTTCAACTATTTTTGAATAATTTTATTCTCTTTATTATAAATTAGATAACAAATTTTGACGCTGCAGTGCAAATATTTTTGTACATGTCAAGGGATTTATTTTACTCAATCCAAATGAACGTAGAGTAGATATTGTAGATGACTCTATAAGCCAGGTATGTATATATTTTAGGCAATTTTATTTTTTTTATATTATACTAGATATGTTCCTAATGCATTTATATACATTGACTAAAATACTTGTTGTAAAACTCAGTTAAGAATATAATTTTTATTTTCTTTAGTAATTAATACATATATATATATATTCTTAAATGATTTATTAACATATACATATATGTATTACATAGATCAATATTGTATTGCATTTGCATCTATAAATATATTTATAAAATTATCTTTTCTCACAATTTTTAAGTTTTTCGATATCAGTGCAAAAATCTAGCAAACTCAACCCAAATATTATTTATTTGTAGGATAATCAGGCTTATGTGTAAATTGGTAATTTGAAATTAAGTTCCTATGGTCATTAAACATATATATTTCTATCTAAAGTTATACATATAGAATTTAAATATTGTATCTGTATCTTTAGGTATATTAGCTGTTTTAATATGTAATAGATAGATATATAGACATAATACGTTCCATTGAGCGTTGTTAGTTGGATTTTACTGTATAATATCCAAATATATTTATCTGCTCTAGCATACCTATATTATCTATTATATTTATCGGCCTATGATTGTACTAGATACAGCTGCATATTCATATGCATCTCTACTATAATTTTTTCTACCCAAATTCATAATTTAATATTCATGGAGTCGCTATCTCAACTCTCCCACGTGGGAGTGTGGGACTCGACCTATCGTCATGTATGTCCCACACAGAAGAGCCATCTAT